AGCAAAAGCAACAATATAAAAAATAGATAAATCTGACTTCATCAAAATTGAAAGCATTTTTTCTTCAAAGGACACTATCAAGGAAGCAAAAATACAACCCACGAAATGGGGTAAAATATCTGCAAATATTATATCTGATCAGAGTCTAGTATCCAGAATATATAAAGAAAAAATCTTAAACTTAATGACAAAAAGATGGATAATCCAATTAAAATATGAGCAAAGGACTTTGAGTAGGCATTTCTCTAAGAAGATATACAAATGACTAACAAGCGCATGAAAAGGCGCTCAACATTATTAATCATTAGGAAAATGCAAATCAAGATGATGAGACATCACTTCACACCCACTGGGATGGCTACAATTTAAACAAAGGAAAAGTGAAAATAAGTAATTGGTGAGCATTTGGAGAAATTAGAACTCTCATACTTTGCTGGTGGGAATGTAAAATGGTACGGCCACTCTGGAAAACAGTTTGGCAATTTCTCCAAAAGTTAAATGTAGAGTTACCCTGTGACCTTGCAATGCCATTCCTAGGTGTTCCCAAGAGAATTAAAAACATATGTTCATTTAAAAAAACTTGCACATGAATGTTCACAACAACATTATTCATTATAGCCAAAAGGTAGAAACAACCCAAATGTCCATCAACTGATGAATAGATAAAAGTGGTCTATGGAGTATTATTCAGCTATAAAAAGGGATGCAGTATTGATATATGCAGGATGAACCCTGAAAACATTATACTAAAATGAAAAAAAGGCCACATATCATATAATTCCATTTGTATGAAATGTTTAGGATAAGCAAGTCCATAGACACAGAAAGTAGACTCTTGGTTGCCAGGGATTGGGGTAGAAGGGGAAGGACAGCGACTGCTAACGGGCATGTGGTTTCTTTTGGGGGAGGTGAAAATGTACTGGAAAAACAGTGATGGTCTTTGCACAGCCTTGTGAATACAGTAAAAAAAAACAAAAACCCATAGAATTGTATACTTTAAAATGGTGAATTTCATGGCATGTGATCTATATCTTAATTTTTTGTGTGTGTTTTTTGAGACAGAGTCTTGCTCTGTTGCCCGGGCTGGCGTGCTGTGGCATCAGCCTAGCTCACAGCAACCTCAAGCTCCTGGGCTCAAGCAATCCTCCTGCCTGAATTCCCAAGCAGCTGGGACTACAGGCATGTGCTACCATGCCCGGCTAATTTTTTTCTATATATTTTCAGTTGTCCAGCTAATTTCTTTCTATTTTTAGTGGAGACAGGGATCTCACTCTTCCTCAGCTGGTCTCCAACTCCTGACCTCGAGTAATCCTCCCGCCTTGGCCTCCCAGAGTGCTAGGATTACAGGCGTGAGCCACTGTGCCTGGCTTCAGTTTTTTAAAAAAAGACAGAAATCCCATGTGTCTTTGCCCAGCTTCCCCAAGTGGTAAATCGCGTGTAACTCTAATACATCGCCAAAACCAGGACCTTGACATTGGTATAATATGTATATAGTTTATGTGATTCTATCACATATGCAGATTTGTATAATCATGACATCAAGATACAGAGGACCGTCACCACCAAGGAATTCCCTCGGGCTGTCCTTTATGGCCACACCTCCCCACCCCCATCCCTAACACTGGCAGCCACTGAACTGTCCCTCTGTTGTTCTGTCATTTCAGGAATGCTATATAAATGGAATCATGTCGTAGGTACCCTTTTTGAGATTGCCTTTTTTCACTCAGCATCCTGCCTTTGACATCCTCCCAAACTGTTCTATGTATTGATAGTTTGTTCCTTTTTAATGCAATAATTTATTAAAATGGAGCCACTTTTAAGGGCGATCCGGCATCTTCCTGCCAGTGCGTGGGCCTGTGTTAGGTTAATGCTAGAATAGAAAAGCACCTTTGGTTTAGGAATTAAAGTTACCTCTTCAAAGAGACCTTCCCTGACCACCCGTTCTATAAATAGCTGTTCCACTGCTATTAATAATTCTCTCTTGTTTTCTTCATAGAATTTATCCCTGCTTGATCTTTTTTTTTTTGGACATGTTACCTGTTTGCCTTCCCTGGTAGCACAGAGCTGCTGGGGACCCAGTAGCTCAGGCTCCTGTACACATCCCCCGTGTCTGGCCAGTGTCTGTCCCCAGGAGGGACTCGGTGCTCCGCGTTGGTTGGGCAAGCCTGTAGCAGAGGCTGTCCATGCCCGCCTGTACACCCGCTTGCTCTGCTACTGCCGTGCATGCTGGCTGCCCTTCCAGGAGTCTTCTCTCCTGGAGGGTCCTGTGTCTGGCCTCCAGGGCCATGTCGCAGGCCCTAACTAGGGGGAGCGGGTCGAGGCCCCCAGGAGCAGCCCCCACCTGATGCTGGTGCTGGTGGGAGTTGGGGTGTAAATATCCCAGCTCCCCTGCCCCGAGGGTGGAACCACCCCATGCATGTTCCACACTGGCTCCCATGTTCCCTGGGGCCCCTGTGCCCGCAGGGGTAGCCGGCTTGATAACACACCCTTTCTAGACTGCCTTCCCTCCCTATCCCGCTTCCCCACACTCTCCTCCTGGTGTGTCCTTCTCTGTCTACATAAATACTTACACTTGGATCTGTGCATCAGGCTCTGCTTCCGGGGGAAGCCAAACTGAGACAGAATGAATTAATGAATTAAAGATCGAGGTTGAAATCGATCTCGGGCACTGAGCACCCTTGGGTGAATCACACCCTTGTCGGGCTGTGGTTGTTCATCAGCCACAGTAGTTAGGTAGTGCAGGTGTTAGTTACAGCGCTACCCACCCCTGGGGTTTTGAGAAAACCAAGGGAAATGACAGCAGCGTGTAGGTGCCCTGATTCTCGGTCTGCCATCGTCCTTACCACCTGCGATGGGGAGGGAGGAGCTGCGGTGCCCTGCCTGCTGGCCTGCCACCAAGGGGTCTGCCCAGCAGGTGCCAGGTCAGCCTCTCTCCGAGAGTCCGGCTGTGGGAAGGAAACATCAGAAGGCGCGCTTGCTAATGAGGCCTGCAGCTATCCTGAGGTTAATGTTCTCTGGCTTTGAACACCACAGTTCCCACTTAGCCCTCCTGTTCTTCCTCCTGCTGACAGAAATGTGAAGGGAAACCAATTACAGTCCCCTCGCCCGCATCCAAGGGTCAGTCTTCAGCCTCTTCCTTTGTCAGGCGGCCACGGCGACCCATTTCAGGCTCCCGCTCCGAGAAGGAATGAGACCGAAATGCTGGATTTTGAGATGTGGTTTCTTGACCCCTCGCAGCTGCCCAGAGCACGGAAAGTTCTTGCAGAGCTGGAGGAACTTGCCAGAATAGGTCAGAACCCCTTGAACACATCACTCCCCCTTAACAAAAGCAACCTCCTCCCTCCTGAAAGGCACCGTTGTCGCCGAAACAAGCCCCGTTTGTTCTCCGCCACAGCTGGGGCCTGGGCCTCCCGGCTCCCAGATCGGCCAGTCCCCTTCCCTGGCTCTGTGAAGTAGCAGGCACGTTCCTGGTGACGGGGTCTGCAGAGATGTTCTCAAATCAGCCAGCCAGCGTCACAGCCGCAGTGCTTGCTCACTGGCCAGTGGGGCTTGCCGAGACTGCCCAGTTCCAAACGCAGACGCCTGCAGCGGTCGGGCAGGGCCACAGAGAGGAGGCGGGCTGAAAGCAAAGCACTAGGGAGTGGTGGGGACTGTGGGGTCTGCAGAGCCGCAGGCTTCAGGGGCCGTGCACCGAACCCCCGGGCAGTAGCCGGAAATCGGGCTCCTTCCTGTTTTTAAATGTTGGCAATGAATTTGTCTTTGCCTTTTTTTTTTTTTTTAATGTTTCATGAACCAAACAAAATACCTCTTTGAGCCAGATCTAGCTTCCAATCTCTTATCTAAAGTCTCCGTGAGAGGGCACGTACCAGGAGGTACATTCCATGTATCCATGCATTCAGTCACTTACTCATTCTAAAAAGTTTTTTTGGCATTCGCCATGTGCCAAGGAACCGTGCTGAATGCTAAGGGTTCTGGAATGAACTAGACACGGCCCCTTCCCTCGAGGAGCTCACCGCTGAGTGGGGGCATAACATGGATGTGAAAAGAGATGACTGCGGGACACCGAGTTAGGTGTCAAGCTTGGGGACCACAAGAAGCTGACGGTGTCTGGGAGACAGAGTAATTGACAGCAGATTCAAAGGAAGAGGTGACTGTGGGAGCCACGTCATATTTTAGCTGAATGTCCCAGGGTGAAAAGGGCAGGCGGAGACCTGCCAGGAAGTGGAGGCCCAGCCTGTGCAAAGGCACTGGGGTCGAGCCGGCATTGACATGTCTAGGGGCAGCTTTGAGTTTCCTCCTGATGGAGAACAGGAGAGGTATCAAAGGGGCTGAGAAAGGTCCCCTGCTGTGGCTGTGTCCATGGCACCCACAGCACGCATGGCGTGCGGTTTGTGGGTGTGCGTGAGAAAGGCAGCGAGGCTTCCCTGCTCCTCTGCCCCTCACGCCCCGAGGGCAGCCCTGCCACGCCGCCGGGTAAAAACCGCAAACTGAGGCCTCGAGCCTTGGAGATGCTGAGAGGAGCAGAAAACATGCCAACAAATGCCTGAGCCAATTCCTTTCTTCCTTTTCTATTTTTACATTTTAGAAATTCGACAGGGTCTGACAAAAGAAAATCAAAGGCCCTGTTTGCCAGGTTCATCGAATGGCCGAGTGGGGGCTCTCGTCCCATCCTTCTCTCTGGTGCCTCCCCCCGCCCCAGGGCTCTCCTCGAGGCTGATTAAGTTGATTACAATAAAGCCCACTGCACTTCACCTTTCATCTGGTGGGCAGATCAGAGGGGCCCATGGGGCAGCTTTGTGTGGGGACGGGGCGGCACAGTCTGCCGTGAAGTGCAGTCCAGATGGGACGGGAGCTGAGTGCCACGCGGACGGTGCAGAGGTGGCCTGGCTCCCTGCCCCCCGCCCGCTCCTGGTTTTCAGGAGCCAAAGAGCCACCACCGCGTTGCTCCGGGGAGGGGCAGGAGTGTGCCTGACGACTGCGCTCTCTCGCTGGCCTTTCAGGGCAAGAACGAGCCCTCCTTGTGGACCTGCCCCTTCCACCCGCCGCTGCAGCTCTTCTTCGTCATCCGCAACACGGGGCAGCTGCGCGACTTCCACCTGGCCAAGATCAAGGTTTGGAATTACTGGACGACTGATGGCGTAAGTAACGGGCTCCAGTTCCTGGCGGGCACGTGGTTGGTGGAAGCGCTCAGTGGTTTGCCAGGAGCCGGGTTCCTCAAGTTGCAACATGGACGCAGAGAGGCTCTGCCGCCTTCCTGCTGTGTCCTGATGGCGGTGCACGTGACGTCCTTCGGAGCCACCAGGACAGAGCTTCCAGCTCCTGGGGGAAGTGATGTCAGGCCACCCTTCGGGGAACCGGAAAAATAGGAACCAGGACTCAGTTTTACAGAGACGGTAACAGGGAGGTCATGTAAGTCACATAGCCAGTAAGCGTCAGAGTGAGAATTTGAACCCATGCATTCAGACTCCGGGCCTGTTCTCTTTGCTGCAACTTCTGTAACATTGATCTGTTATGACTCACCCAGGGATCTTGCTAAAATGCGGATTCTAATCCTGCAAGTCTGAGGCAGGGCCCAAGATTCCGTGTTTCTAACGTGCTTCCAGGCGTGCTAGCCTCCCTGGTCTGAGGGCCCCACTCCACACAGCCAGGCTCTGGACCTCTGGCGGTGTGGCCCTCTGGTTTTAGAATCCTTTCTGCCCCCACACTGTCCACTATCTGTGCCCACACCACTGCCGCACCCACGCCCTTGTCCTGCCCTTCTGGACTGTTCTTCAGGTATTCATGGTTCCAGCAGGGGACTCAATGAGTAAGGACAGGAACTCACTCAGCCTGTCTGGTTCCCCCTCTTATGATAGACGTAGGGACAAGAATTGTACTTTCCTTTCAAATCTGTGAGGGAAGTGACAGCTCAAGTGGGACTATAAACAGGAACCAACCCTCAGCCTCGGTATTGTCAGAGGCACTAGGGAGTGGTGGGGGCTGTGGCAGACTGGCTAGCCTGCGCCCCGGGTAAAGGGAAGACCACGTTTCAGCTTCAACTAATGATTCCTCTGTAGGAATCCTGGTGCTGCTAGATCTTCTAAATATTCCCAGCGAGCTGGAAGTCTGAGTTTGGATATGAACCTTCCTGGTTTGTAAATGTCAACAGCTAATTTGAATTCTTTTTAAACCACCGTATAGTTCAAACAAAACTCATCTTTGGGCTAGAACTGGCCTGCCCCAGACGGCATGGAGCATGGAGGAGGAAGCCAGCTCCAGGCGGGTGGAGATCAGAGAAGGTTCTTGAAGGGACACACACCTGAGCTGTGGTGCAAAGAGACAGCAGCAATAAACTGAGGCAGAAGAGGAGAAAGTATATCCCAGGTGTGGGGTGCATGGAGGTGTGGAAGAATACCGAATCTCTCTCCCTGGCCCTAGGCCCAACTCTCCAGTCTGTCCCCAGCACCCACCGGGGAGGGCCGATCACCCTTTCCTGCTGCTTCAAACCCCCCATGGGAGCTACTCCCTTAGTTCCCAGCCATCCCATCTCACTCAACTCACAGTGCCCGTCTTGGCCTCATATTTCAGGAGCACCCAGACATCACTTTCTCTAGGAAGCCAGTGCTGCCCACTGCCCCTTGCAGTCCTTCTAGAACTTGTGAATACGTTCCATCATCCCCTATGCCAGAGTTTGCACCCACCTCCCCCATGGTGCCATGGACCCCTTTGAGAGCATGGCCTGCGATGTCTCCACCCCTGCTCTAATGACAAGAGAAATGAATGGTTGGTGAATGAATGAATGAATGAATGAGTGAATGAGCTGGTGCTCCCAGTCACCCATAAGCAGTTGCATTATCCTTCCTGATATCCAGCTGAGAGCATGGGGATCGGCGAGGTTAGGTGGCTTGCACAAGACCACCCAGCAGGTGCCAGGCAGAGCTGGGGACCTAGTCCGGGAGAGGCAGTCCTCCCTCCCTCCTGCCCTTCCTGCCTTCCTGGACTGCTTCCTGCTGGCTCTGGCCCCCACCTAGCTGTCCATCTTCCTCACGACCTCGTCCTGAGCGCCTGTCAATCGCTAGGCACTGCGGATCTGGAGACTGGCAGACGGCCCCCGCCGGCTCTCCGCGCACAACGCTGCCCAGAGAAATATAATAGAAAGCTTTCTCTGATTTCTGTTTTATGAGTTTTTTAATTTGGGGAAAAGTCTAAATTGAAATTATAATTTAAAGCTGAGAAAAAGAAGTCCAAGTCACTGGAATAACTGAGGAGGCTCCTCTGGGCATGTCAGCCTCCCCTTTATACCATGTGCCAGCGCTGGCCACTCGTGTGCCCGGAGGCCGGCCTCCAGGCCGGGCCGCAGCCACAGCCTGCATAGCCATAGCACGCCCTGGGCATCTAGCCGGGTCCTCTCTTCCCAAGTCCTGCTCAAGGTGGTCACCAGCCCCTCTTCTAGAATGGGGACTGGAACAATACTGGCTGCCCAAGCCTGTACCCTGCAGCTCGGCCCTGTCAATGAATATATTAATACATCTCAGGCCCAGGAAAGCAGATTTTGTGTGCTGGATTACAAAGAAGATAAGCTGCTCATCCCTTTTGGCCGAGGCCTGCCTTTCTTCTTTAACCTGCGCTCAGCCTTCCCTGTGCGTGTGCAATTTTGAAAAGGAGCGGGGTCTCAGGAGCCCCACGGGAGCATCAGGGTGTCACTGCCGTGCTGGGGAGCTTCAGGCTGCGGGGATGAGACAGCCAGGGCTGTCTACACCGGGGGGAGCGTGGAAGGCTGCAGTCCCCGCCGGGGCGCCGCTTATGTAACGCACGCCCATCTGTTGCCAGGATTTACTGGGGGCAGAAAAGCGCAAACAAATGCAGCTGCAGGTTGGTTTGATTTAATATTCTCCGGAGAATGCTATTACTGTGTGTTTTAGAGGAGATAAAATGAGAGTTTATAGGAAATATAGCTCGGCCTGGTAGACACGGCTTGTTAATACAGTGTTTTGTGTATGGGAATCCGAGGAAGAAAAGTTAAATGTGGGGAGCTAATCCAACCAAGGCTTATTTAGAGCATAAGAAAAGAACGTACTAGAAAAGGGGGAGTCTTTTTTATTGGAGAATGTGCCGCCTGTTAAATCCTCGCGCTAGCATTTATGGGCTCCTTTCCCCTCATTAGGCGACACGGTAAGTGTGGTCTGGCCGGGGAGAGGGACTGCCGAGGGGGCGAGGACACGGAGGCTGTCCCCCGGCCGCACGGCGCACGCAGAAGGCCGCGGGCATCGGGCATGCGTGAGGCACCCAGGGGCACTCGGTAAAGCCCGGACGCGTGAATCAAAAACCGAACAAGTGAATCAGCTCCCCTAACCCCGGCGATCCTTCAGGGTGGGCAGTGGTGTTCCCAAGCCCGGACTTAGGAGGATGAGATCCCACAGGGTGGATAGACTTGTGTCCCTTTTGCCCACTCTAATGGGGAGTGGCTGCCTGGAGAGCTGGCCTGAGAAGGGTCTGGAACCTCCCTTCGGGTTCATCAAGGAAAAGGTGCTGTGACTGCTGAGCGACGTGTGCGTGGGGCTCGGAAGGAGGATGTGATGATAGGTGTGTCGCATCTTCCGACGTTTCCCAGATCAAATGACTTGCCCAGTTAGCAGGGACAGAGTTGGGAGGGGGACGTGAGGTCTGGTGGGTTTTCTCTGGCACTGCTTCCCCTTCGGAGTGGATCTATTGGGAGGAAGGATCCGACAGTCTTCCTTCCATAGTGGGTAGTGACCCATCCACACAGCAGGCTTCCGGGGGCTCCCCATGGTCCCCCTGTTTTCCTTTGTAACCGTCGTGTTAGTTATCTGCCACAGGGTACCATTCCTCAGGGAAAACAGGCCCACCACCCCCATCTTCACCCACAGCAATGCCACCATGCTGTGCCATCTCCAGCCTGGTCCTAACAGGGAGGAGACAGCAGTGAGCGCCCAGGTGGGATGGGCACCCGGGGTGTACTTCAAACACAGAAAGGTGTTCATAAGTCATTTGTGCACGAATGAATGCTTCATTTCCCCAGGGGTGTACTTCTGTGACATGTCAGGTGGCTGGGGCCCGTGCTGCCCACTAGAACTTTCTGTGGTAATGGAAATGTGCTGTATCTGCCACGTCCATGACAGTGGCCACTAGACACAGGTGGCTGTTGAGAATTTGAAATGTGGCTAATGCAACTGAGAAACTGCACTGACAACTGTATTTAATTTTAATTAACTTTTATTGAAGTAGTATATGTGGCTGGTAACCATGTATGGGACCGCACGGGTCTTGGGGCCCAGGGTACGGTGGTGAGCAGACAAGGCCCTGACCACAGCCCTGTCCCTTCTGGTGGGGAAGGGACAATAAACAAGGGTAGGATGAATGCCATTATTTCAGGTAGTGCTACGTGTTCTGAAGACAATGAAATAGGGCAGCGAGCTCGAGGCCTGGGGGGAGGAGGTGAGGCTGTTTTGAACAGGGTGGTCAGAGGCCTTCACTGCCCTTAGGGACGAGGGTGGCGGGGCCCTGGGGAAAGAGCATTCTTGAGAGGAGCACAGCAAGAGCAAAGGCCCTGAGACAGGAACATGTGTGGCTGGTTCCAGGACAGTTGAGTCAAGTGGCTGGAGCACGGCCAACAAAAGAGTTTAAAGGGAGGCCCCAGCGGGAGGCGGGGGCCAGGTCCTGTGGGCCTGGTTTGGACCTCAGGTTTGGACCTCATTCAGAGAGAGGCAGCATAGAGGATGCACCGAGCAAGGATGTCAGGGCCAGCCCTCCGAGACAAATCCATGTGGCCTCAGTTTCGTCTGAAAAGTGGGCTGAGTATTGTTCAGTGAAGATGTGCAAAGTGCTCTGAACAGAGTCTGGCCTTTTTGTGCTCTATGCACGCGCCAGCTACTAGTGCCATTACTGCAGGGTGTGAGCCGGGGCTGACATGATCTGATTAAGGAATTGAAAAGACCACTCTGGCTGCTGTTTGGAGAATGGATCGGGGGTGGGGGAAAGAAAGCCCAGAGAGGGGGCTCACAGCATGATCTGGCTAAGCATGGTGGTGGCTTAGACGAAGGTGACAGTGCTCATGGGGTGCACTTCGGGGAGACGTAATTCATCCCATGGTAGTGTTTGCATTTTCAGCAGTGCCTTTTTTCTGGGAGGAAACTGTCAA